AAATTTCATTTTTAGAGTATTTCCCGAGTCTGCTCGGTGGCTTGCATTGAAAGGAAAAAGACTTGAAGCTTGMGAAATTCTGTCAAAGTTTGGACGAAAAAATGRCAAGTCKTTGGATGAGGATGCTATTATGGACGCAYTAAWRACTACCKGTGAAGATCAACAAGGGAATTACAAAACAATTTTGAAGCGATTGACAGACTTAATTAARGCCAAGAAACTTAGAAAAAGAATGTTGATCCTCTCTTTTCTCTGGTAAAATAATTTTCATTAGTGAAAATTGTTCATTATAATAATTCAGTAAAAGTCTTCAGGACAAAAGATGATTTATAAAATAAAAAATGATATCTTGATACATTCGGAATTCCATTTGGCGTCTTAACATAATTCATTTTGGTGAAATTTATGCCATTTTAATTTAATTMCAGACTTTATAAATGGTGTTTTACTTCGTAGGATGTCCGTTAGCATGTCATTTTATGGATTTATATTGTATGTGCCGAGCCTGTCAGGAAATCTGTACCTCAACATGTTTCTGCTGTTTTTGGTTGATTTACCGCACACCCCCATTGGATGGTTTCTTATGCAAACGTAGGTATAAAACTCTGAAACTTTTACGCAATATTCCGTAAACGCAATGCATTGTAGGATATGTTTGGGAAAAAAAACATGCCGGACGTGACTTCTATTGTTTTCTCCAGAAATCGAATCGAATCGAATAGAATCGAATAGAATTTTAATAAGGAGTACATGGACTTTGGCAACGTCGTGCCACATTGTTATGTGCACAATTCGATTGTCAAATATGTTTTTTTTGCGCAAATTAATTGGTTTTGATTCGATGCTCTTACAGAATAATGGTCTAAGTGCGCTCTCGTGTCACCACAGATCATCCTGGRCAATCTGCGCAAAGTTCGTGTCCAAAATCCCTGACATGAAAAAGGCTACTTCATAAATATCCACATAGACTGATGCTGTCCATGAGCAACAAATTTTCGATGCAGTCTTTGATTTGACAGATTTTTTAGGGTTTTTTTTTCTCGTTTAATATATAAASTTATTGCATGTGAATTGTTATTAGGATTGGTCGTCGTTTGACGATATCTCTGTTTTACTTATTTGGTGGGGGTATTTGCCTTCTATCTTTGGCCGTCAAAGGTATGTTTCATCCGACCTCTATTTAT